TTTTTGTAGTCTAGTAGCTAGGATTTTCGAGAATAACGTCACATCTGTGTTGATGAGGGATATTGGTCGATAATTCCCGCAGTTTTCAGGATTTTTCCCGGGTTTAGGTATTACTGTAATCGTTGATGCTAGAGTTTCCTGATGAAACTTGTCTCCTTGCTGCAGTCGGTTCAATGCTCCTGTCAAGTATGGGGCTAGTAATTCGCCGAATTTTTTGTAATAGCCTGCCGGTAGACCATCCGGGCCCGGGGCCTTCCCAGTTTTTGCTTGTTTGATCGCCGCTCTGGGCTAAAGTTTTGGAGGTACCATGTTGTGGCCACTATTCTGTCTTCTTGACGGTCGCCTGTTGTCGTGGGGTCTATGTTGTACAGGGTTTGATAATATTTTTGAAATTCCTCGGCTATTTCCTCCGGAAATTGTGTGAGCGTGCCTTTGGTTGTCCTCAGTTCGTGTACCTGAGCTCTGGCCTGTCGGTTCTTGATCATGCGAGCCAGTAGCCTTCCGCTCTTGTTAGCATGGATGTAATAGAAGGCTCTGTTTCTCTGGGTCGCCCTGTGATGTCTACGGGCCACCAGCTCCGTCAGCTGGTTTCTGGCTTCTAGAAGAGAACGGTATTGCATCTCCAATTGCGTTCGTTTATGGAGCGTTTCTAGTTGCGCTATGCGTTTGGTGAGTTCATTCAGGCGTTGTTGTGCTTCTTTCTTTTTCTGAGATGCTATTCTTATAAAGTGCCCTCTGAGCACAGTCTTGTGGGCTTCCCATAGTGTCACCTGTGATATATCCCCTGTGTTGTTCTCGTTAAAGTAGTTGTTGAGGTGTTCCGTTAATTGCGTCTGTACCTCTAAGTCGGATAGTAGTGACTCGTTCATTGTCCAGGCTGTCCGTGCGGGTCTATACATGGGGGAGTCCAGGAGCATGGTCACAGCACTGTGGTCTGACCACGTAGTAGTGCGTATTTCTGCTTTCTGGAGTCTTTGCAGGCCCTCTTGTTAAATGAGGAGGTAGTCGATGCGGGAGTATCTCCTGTGGATAAAGGAATAGTGCGTGTAGTCTCGGTCCGTTGGATGCAGAGCCCTCCATGCGTCCACCAGTCTCAGATCTCTGAGAGATTTCCGTATAGTCCGGATCGCCATTTGCGGTATACTACTGTGTCCTGTCGAGGAATCTGACAGTGGGTCCAGGGGAGCGTTGAAGTCCCCTCCCATAATAAGCGTCCCTTCTGTGAAGGTGGCTAGCTGTGAAATCGTTGCGGAGGAACGTCGCTTGCTTTGCGTTTGGCGCATAAACTGTAGCAAGTGTGTATATTTTCTGTAGAATTGTGCCCTTAATGAAGAGAAATCTGCCGCTCGAGTCGGATAGCTGGTCAGTCAGTTGGAATTGTAGGTTGGCGTGTAGGAGGATTGCTACCCCTACTTTACGCGTTGTTGGCTGTGTGCTATGATAGTTGACTGGGTAGTGTCTGCTTTTCAGTCTGTGTGTGTCCGTAGATTTAAGGTGTGTTTCCTGCAGCATTGCAATTTAGACCTGCTCTCGCGCGAGTTCTCGTAGAAGATGGGAGCGTCTTTCGGCCGTATTTAGGCCTCTGCAATTCTGGGTCGTGATGCGAAATGGTGTGGGAATGTATGTCATGATGTGAGCGGGGTTATGTTGGAGGTAGTGTTGTGTGGTGTCTCGGGTCCCGCTCCCAGTTTCCCCCGCACACCCCGCGTCCTGGGGTAAGGGAAGGGGGGGGGGTGTGGGAGAAAGGGAAGAGAGGTGTTCGGGGTTCGCTCAGTTGGTGCAGTGCCCCTTCAGTGCCTTGGGACTTCTACTTGGTCGGTTTAACCTTTGTCTGGTTTTGGCTCAGCTCGGGAAAACTCTAGGGGTCTGGTCCCACCAATGTGGTCCCTTTGAAAGTTAATCCCTCAATATGAGGGGGTCCTGTGCAACTGGGTGGAGTATCAAGTCCGTACCGTTCCCTAGTTAATACTAGGACAGCCACGGAGTCAACGCCCCCAGTAGTCTAAGTATCCACAGGTCTGGTTTTGGGGGTGTGGGCCTGGTGTTGGCCGTTGTATTTACCTGCAGGTACACAGGTGTGTGGGTTTTGAGGTTTTCGAGGTTGTATGTGGCAGTCTTCATGAGATTTCCGTTTCCCACTTATGTCTGTGCTGTATGTTTTTGTCTTGCTAATCTTAATTAGATTGCGGTCCGTAAGGTCACGTTATGGTCGGGCGTGGGCAATGGTTAAAGTACGTTGCCTGTTGTGGTGTGTCTATTCAGTGTCTAAAGGCCATGTCTGGGGTCACTCCCATCTGCGCGTGGTCTCTGAACCTGGGCGAGTCCCATATGGGAATGTTTCGTGGTAGTGTGCCCTGCAGGGGGTGTTACACGTCCGCGCGAGGGGGGGGCGCATGTTATTTCCAGTGAGCTGTACCTGTGTCTGCGGGCGTGTGCTTGCTACGTGTGTGGGTTGCTCTCTTCTCTTGTGGTCGTGACACTAGGTATGGTGGGTGGTCCCTGCTCTGAGTCAGTTTTCTTATTGCACGTGTGGGTGACGAGTTGGTTGCATCTCATTTATGGGTGTCAAAGTGAATCAAAGCAGTATCAACATTTATCAACATATGTCACATGGTACATTACATTCTTTGTTTAGTCTCGCTCCCATCGTGCGTCCTCTGGGACTCTTTACACCCCATGATATACATCTTTAAACACACTTAACTTTACCCGTATCTGGTAATTCTGCTCTGCTACGCCTATCTTCCCCTCGTTTCCCTTCTCTCTGAGAATTTGGGCCCCCCTGGCCAATTAATTATAGTTGCATAAAAAAAATTTTTCTCCCCCCCCTCTCCTTTTCCTTCTCCCCCTTTTCCCCTCCCCACCCCCTGCTGTGGTCTCTACCTCCACCCCCGCACAACTGCACACATCCCCCTCCAACCCCCAAGATGATTTGGTTCCCTCATCTTGGGGATCAGCAGTTCCTCAGGTCCCATTCCTTCCGGGTATCTTTTAATCAACCCAATGTTTGCGTCCCAAACAGTATCAGGCCGGATCTATGCGGAGGGATGTCTCAGTCGCTGTCACCTCCCCTCGGCCTCCCACCCAAATTGATGCTATAGGTCGCCTCTTACCCCTGTGTAGGGGTAAGAGGCGGCCATTCTCTTAAGAAGGTGAGGACGAGGTCCACATCCCATAGGTGGGTGTATTTGGGGGCCGGAGGCCGTTTTAGTCGCATGCCGCTCAGTAATCGACATACCATAGGATCCTTACCCACCGGAATCCCTTGGATAGGGGTATGTGCAGCTGAGATCACAGATCGAACTACATTAATAGTTCTATAAGATTTTCCTGTTGCAAAAAGTGACAACAGGAAATTCAGGATGGTGGGAATAGGTGCCGTAAGAGGATCGAGGTCCCGTTCCAGGCACCAAGCGGACCAGTATGTCCAAGCAGAGAGGTAGCATAATCTTGTCCCCGGTGCCCATGAATCCCATAAGAGGTCCCTAGCAGTCTGCGATAGTTCGCCAACTTGCCAGGTACCCCAGAAAGAGTCCAAGCCACCAAGGAGAGTTTCTCTTCCATATTAGCGGGTGAGGGTTCCCCTTCGGATCCGTAAGGAGTGTCGGGTGGGACGGCAGTAAGAGCGGGACTGCGTAAGATAGTGCTAGAAGGTCCGGGAACCACGGTTGACTCTGCCATAGGGGGCAGTACCAGTTTTAACCCCAGTAGGGTAATGTTCCAGTATGCAGAGATTGCAACAGCAGAGCTCTGAAAGGCAGCACAGGGTATTGAGCCCTATAGTGCACATATACCACAGGAGTAACAGGAGACTTTCTGTGGGGACCCCTGCCTGGATGAGTGTACAGGGAGTGCAGAATTATTAGGCAAGTTGTATTTTTGAGGATTAATTTTATTATTGAACAACAACCATGTTCTCAATGAACCCAAAAAACTCATTAATATCAAAGCTGAATATTTTTGGAAGTAGTTTTTAGTTTGTTTTTATTTATAGCTATGTTAGAGGGATATCTGTGTGTGCAGGTGACTATTACTGTGCATAATTATTAGGCAACTTAACAAAAAACAAATATATACCCATTTCAATTATTTATTATTACCAGTGAAACCAATATAACATCTCAACATTCACAAATATACATTTCTGACATTCAAAAACCAAACAAAAACAAATCAGTGACCAATATAGCCACCTTTCTTTGCAAGGACACTCAAAAGCCTGCCATCCATGGATTCTGTCAGTGTTTTGATCTGTTCACCATCAACATTGCGTGCAGCAGCAACCACAGCCTCCCAGACACTGTTCGGAGAGGTGTACTGTTTTCCCTCCTTGTAAATCTCACATTTGATGATGGACCACAGGTTCTCAATGGGGTTCAGATCAGGTGAACAAGGAGGCCATGTCATTAGATTTTCTTCTTTTATACCCTTTCTTGCCAGCCACGCTGTGGAGTACTTGGACGCGTGTGATGGAGCATTGTCCTGCATGAAAATCATGTTTTCTTGAAGGATGCAGACTTCTTCCTGTACCACTGCTTGAAGAAGGTGTCTTCCAGGAACTGGCAGTGGGACTGGGAGTTGAGCTTGACTCCATCCTCAACCCGAAAAGGCCCCACAAGCTCATCTTTGATGATACCAGCCCAAACCAGTACTCCACCTCCACCTTGCTGGCGTCTGAGTGGGACTGGAGCTCTCTGCCCTTTACCAATCCAGCCACGGGCCCATCCATCTGGTCCATCAAGACTCACTCTCATTTCATCAGTCCATAAAACCTTAGAAAAATCAGTCTTGAGATATTTCTTGGCCCAGTCTTGACGTTTCAGCTTGTGCGTCTTGTTCAGTGGTGGTCGTCTTTCAGCCTTTCTTACCTTGGCCATGTCTCTGAGTATTGCACACCTTGTGCTTTTGGGCACTCCAGTGATGTTGCAGCTCTGAAATATGGGCAAACTGGTGGCAAGTGGCATCGTGGCAGCTGCACGCTTGACTTTTCTCAGTTTATGGGCAGTTATTTTGCGCCTTGGTTTTTCTACACGCTTCTTGCGACCCTGTTGACTATTTTGAATGAAACGCTTGATTGTGCGATGATCACGCTTCAGAAGCTTTGCAATTTTAAGAGTGCTGCATCCCTCTGCAAGATATCTCACTATTTTTGACTTTTCTGAGCCTGTCAAGTCCTTCTTTTGACCCATTTTGCCAAAGGAAAGGAAGTTGCCTTATAATTATGCACACCTGATATAGGGTGTTGATGTCATTAGACCACACCCTTCTCATTACAGAGATGCACATCACCTAATATGCTTAATTGGTAGTAGGCTTTCGAGCCTATACAGCTTGGAGTAAGACAACATGCATAAAGAGGATGATGTGGTCAAAATACTCATTTGCCTAATAATTCTGCACTCCCTGTAGTGTGAGTTGATAGTGGAATCTGAAACAGTAAGGGGATATGAGTGACCAACTGAGTTGTGGCACAGGTGGATTGAAATAAGAATATGCAAACAAGATGTTAGAATAAAACAATGCTTACCTTAAGGGACCAAGCAGGTGTAGATCTCCAACAGCGTCAGACCGAGTGGGTGAAGCTCCAAAATGGCGGCCGCGGGTCTCGAAAGTGTGGGAAAGTAGATCCGGCGGCCGAAGCGTGAAAACGCGTGGTTAGGCGGCCGGGGGGGGGCAAGGGCACTGTAGGACTAAGTTCCCAGCGGTGGAAGGGGGGAAAAAAAACTTTGTAATCACCCGGTGTAAATGAAACCGTGGGGTGGGAGCAGAGTGCCCATAATACATATAGGTATATGTGAAGGGGCCTCAGGAAAAATCCTGAGTAGAAAAGTTAACCAGGCATATAGGAATGACAGTTAAACAACTGATAAACAGAACAAGCAATAAATTACAAGGAATATAAGTATAATAAATATGTAAACATGAATAAATATGAGGAGCTCAATATTCTGACCTGTCTGCTGATGGAGCAGTAAAGAAAGAAGGGGAGGAGCCTGTTCACTGGGAATACCATACCTCCTACTGTTTTTTGATTGGTTCTTACTATCCTTTTTTTTTTACTGCTATAGAGTTTAGTAAAGAGAGTTATGCAAAATACGAAGCCTCCTGTCATGTAATAAAATTACTTGGGCAGCAATTTATGTGTCACAATTCTGTTTTTCTGTCTGGTGCAGTACCTCACAGTGCCACCGCCGGTCTGTGGTGCTTTTGCAGGTTGCTGCACCCAGACTGAGATCGTGCTCTGTTCCCAGCTGGTCTTACTTTATAGTTAACATCTCCCTATTTAGTTCAGCCTCACTCCTTCTTGTTTGCCAGTTCATTAATGTTAATGTTGTTGTTGGTCTGGTCCTTTTGTCCTGAGTTCCTGTGTTTGCTGGCTGTCTACCTGAGCTGGCTGCTACCCTGTACCCAGCAGCCTTTCCTGAGTTCCCTGCATCCAGAGACCCTGCTTTCATTCCCTGCATCCAGAGACCCTGCTTTCATTTCCTGTATCCAGAGGCCCTGCTTTCATTCCCTGCATCCAGAGACTCTGCTTTCATTCCCTGCATCCAGAAACCCTGCTTTCATTCCCTGCATTCAGAGACCCTGCTTTCATTCCCTGAATCCAGAGGCCCTGCTTGCGTTCCCTGTATCTAGAGGCCTTTCTCCTACATTCAGTTATCTGTGTTTGTATTTTATTTTACTATCTTTCTTGTATATATGAATGCACTTTTTTTTTGCCTTGATTTGTGTGTGTTGGTTTCTTTGCATTCTGGGTTTCACCCTATAGGGCTGTTGCACTGGGCAGCACCCCTTCCCAACCAGACCACTGACATCATGATACTTTTAACATTTGTTAAAATCTAGTTCAAATTAACTGAATTTTCTTTTTAATTAAACCTAACTATTTTCCTCTTCATTTTTGCTGTTAGTTATATACTAAATTATGGTAGAATTGAAGAAAAAAAAAAGCACCAGCTTAAATCAAATATTGACTGCTTATTTTTTGCCAGCCAATTTGATGGTTATTGAATAAGCCACTTGGAAAATGTAAATAGTACTTTGTCAACTCTTTCAATACCGATGACCATCAGCATCGTGGATCCATAATGCAGTTTCTACAATGAAGGAAATCTAATATTCAGCTACTTCTGAACATTTTTACATTCTTAATTAGAATTGTAAAAACGCATGCTTTAGGGCAAAGAAGTTGAATTTTGACCTTGTACAAATATTTGTAAGGCATTTTTCTGAGATTAAAAAAGAACAGTAAATGTGTTATGTTACTATTAAATTGCTTGTTCTAAAATGTCATAAACATTGTTTTATTATAAGGTTATACATATTTGTTGTTGTTCTCATATTTTCTGTGCTGTGCATTGTTCTCAACAACCCAGTAACAGTTCAATTGAATACTGTTTGGTAAGAAAAATGGCACCAGTCAAGGACATGTCATCCTAAGTACATGCAAAATATTATAATGCCTTATTCTGATTTAGGAATCTGTCAGTTAAATGCAGTTTTGACAGTATGAGATGTGACATTTGGTGCTGATGAACAGACCCTTGATGAGTTATAGAGAACTCTTCCAATTTAAGTTATAGAAAGATAAGAGCATGTTAATCAGAAATACAATTACACCTTAAGGATTAACTACAATAAAATAGCTAGCACATAATTTAACACTTACTAATCACAGAAAGACACATCAAGGGCAAATGGCAAGGTTATTATTTCTAAGGAATATGAAGGACAAAATGAAAAACAATAACCCTAGATAAAATATTCAACGTTAAATTCAAATTTAGGACAATGTCACAAAAGCACAGCCTAAGAAAAACGTGATATAAATTATTTTGATTTCTGCAGCAGAATGTCGACCAGTAAAACAGGGACAAGAATTTATAGTATGAGACTGACTAAAATGGTAAAAGAAGTGAAGAAACAATTTATTTTGGAAGATTAAATATTTTTAAATACATTCAATCGAAAAAAACAAACAAAAAAAACTGAACTGGTTTGACAGAGATCTCAGTAGAACTTCTTTAGATTTCTGCTATAGCCTGAGTGCTGCGAGTATCATATCTCAATTCCCTCCTGACAGTGTTGGGGGGAAGTGATGTCAGAGCTTCCGACTGAAGCACTTGCCATGTACCTGGCCAGCCTGGTCTTCACTGGACCCCAGGGAAGTCACACTCCTGCTTCTAAATGGTAAGTAAAAAGGAGGGTGACGAAAAATATCAGCAATGTCAATATGTGTGTCAAGGTATAACTCCCCCAACACGCTAACTAAAAGACAACTTAGCTAGACGTATTACCGGTCCTTAAAGTGGCCGGACTTAACGTGAAGAGAAAATAGGAAAAAAAACAGAATGTTTAGACGAGCCAAGGTCAGGATAGGAGAAGTACGGATAAACGACAAAGCCAAAGCTCACGGAAGCCAGAAATACGGAAATTCAGGGACAAGCCAAAGTTAGATACCAGGAAAAGACAAGTTAACCGAAGGCACTCTCGGGCTACAATAAACCATGACAGGGCAAGGAAGTGATGTAAGAGGGAGGTATAAATAGGGCCAAGAGAGAGCTGATAGGCTAGGGAACAAAAAAGGGCAGTATATAAATAGAGTACCAGTTCACAGGTAAAACATGGTACTATCACTTTAAGGGGCCGGAGACAAGCCGCACA